ATTTTATTTCATCCCAAAATTGTCCTTGTTGTGCCATTCTGTTCCAGCTGCCCAAGTGCTTAAGTCAAGATTCAAAGTCCCCAAGTCTCACAGTCTAGATCGATGATTGTATCCATATCCTAATTGATCCCTGGCAAATTGATGCTGGCTAAACAGATATTCCAAGTTTCCAGAGTCATTTCAAAAAGTCCGCTTTAGCTAAATAGGCCTGAACCAAATTTGAACCCCCAAAATACCAGGGTAGAATGCAATATTTGTATCCGCGGCCTGATGGCCTAATTCCACAGGTTTACGAATACCCAAGGCACAGTTTTTTTAAAGGTCCACTTTAGGGTTAATTTATCCAGCCAGGCATAAAAAAATCAAAAAGAAATAAACAGATTCTCAGGCTTTAAGCAACAGCAGAGTACTCAAGGTCACTTTTCCTGGGCTTTATGCCAAAAGACTTCAAGTAGTCAAAACAAAGTCCAGATTTATCAAGTATAACTTACGGGAAAGTTTCTTTAGCTTTATACGCCAAATTATAATATTCTTGAAGTATATTTTAAATGTATTTGAATGAATATGTTCCATTAATCTTTAAGTTATTTTCTTTCCATCAGCTATCCCTCTCACCAGATTTTTTGCCACTTCGTAGTTACTGAGATTGATAGCGGTTCTTTTTTCCGTATATAGGTATTGTCTTCTCCAGGGGTAATTATAAGCAATTAATTGTAAAAGTTGTAAACACCTGATGGTAAACACCGATGCCAGAAAGCTGATTCTTGCTTCTTTTAGCCGGCTGCCGACGACGTGCAAGCAAGCCCAAGCTGCTTATTTCTGCCCGTTGGCTGGTTAGGGAGCTTCCTGGATCGAACGGGGGTGACCGCCACCCCCCGTGATCAACAGGCTTCCCCCCAGTTCACCACCCCTCTGGGGTGGTTCCGACACCCTGGGGTGTCCCAAACAGGTCAGAATTCAGCCCAGGGGACAGAGCTCTGTCCTCCTGCTGCTGTCTCGTCACGATGTCAAGCTGGAAGTCCTCATGTGAGAAAATTCTTAACTTTGCTACGATCTCTTCGATCCAATTTCAGTCCAGTTTTCCTGTTCAGGGCCTTCCTCCTTCGATTCTCTATTGAGTACCAAAAAAAAAAAAGAAGAAGAAGAAAAGAAGAGAAGAGTTAGTATAACGGATTTTCCTGCCCTTTCTACTGGGCCTACACCTCTTTTATGGCCTCTTCAGGAGATGCGAGTCCTGCCTGAATAAAATAACATTTTCAGATGGGCATTCCAAGTGCCCTTTTAAATTTGGGTGAGGCACATGAAACTTCTTTGTGTCAGGCCTGCATGAATTTAACTAAGCCAGCATTCAAATTGAGATTACAAAGGTTATAATCCTTTCTCTGGGAGAAATCACTTCAACCATCTCAGGTTCCAGTATGGATTCTTCTCAAACCCACCCTACAGAACCATCTCCAAGCTCCCAGAGTTGTTCTCTGACTATTAGACCACCTCAGAGTTGTTCTCCAATCGTTAGACCACCTCAGCCTGCTAAGAGGCCTAAAATGGCGAAATCACACCCGTCTGCATCAACGTTGAAATCAACACTGAAATCCACCTCGATAGCAACACCAAAAAGAAAACATTGATTTCTCATAAGGATAAGCAGCCAGTGGATAAGCCAGCACCATTGGCTCCGCATACCGACTGACCCCAAGAAGAGGTGGTATGCCTTGATCTCTCCCTCTCACATGGTACCATGCCTTCACCACAATTCAGTCACTCTCCTGACTGGGGGAATACCTTGGCTGAGGTTACAGTTACTGCTGTGACACAGGTGAGCCCACACCTTCATGCCGGCTCTGTCTCAAGACATATTTCGATATTGGTCCTGGAATTGGTCCAGGAGGAATCTCCTAAGAGAAGGCCATGAAGGACCCACCATACTGAACTTCCTGGTGATATTGAAGATCATCAGTATCGAGCCACACATTGTATGGCTGTACACTGAAAGGTGGAATATCAGCCCCAGAGTTTCAAGAGGGTGTGTCTCTATGATCACCCCATCTATTACGAGCTTGAGCTCTATTTTAGTTATAGACCTTATGAACTGACCCCCAATACCGACGCTGCCATTATATCCAAGCCTATCGCTCGGAGTCACCTTCTCCTCGGCAAGCCGAGCCATTGCGATACCAATCTTATGAGGAGGAATGTTGTATAGCTCAACTGGCCCCATCTCAACACCATAAAAGACCTTTACTGCCAGACCCGGTGGAGGATCGGTGCCAAAGAAGCGTTTCATACCATTTGACATAGGTGCCAACACAATCATCCAGAGCTCGTCCCTGTCGCAGGTTCAACTCTCAGCATCACAGGTCTCTACGATATTCCAAGGACCTCCACTGGAATCTACAGTGCATTTGGCACTGCACAAATCTAAAAAAGCAAGAGGAAAGGAGCAATCATAGACACAACCTATAGTATCGAGACAAGAGCCTTCTCTGTCTCCAGACCATATCCCTGTCTCCTTTGATACCGATGACTCTGATATCGAGACGATGGGAGATTCCTCACCTAACATTCCCACGCCAGATTCCGATGTCACATCACCATCGGAGGATTTCACATACTCACAACTGATTCTTCGAACGGCTACAGTTATGGATCTGGCGGTTGACCAACCAATGCCTGAAGAGGTGGACAAAGTCTATTAAGATATTACACAAGATCAGAACCCACCTCTTCTTTTGGCCTTCATTTCGTCTCTCCTGAAGCTTATTAAAGAGTGGAAAAATACCATCCTCAGTTCCACATATCCCTAGGACAGTCGAAAATCTATATAAAATGCGTGGCAACAACACCACTTTTCCCTCCAAACACCAGCTTCCTAATTCATTTATAGTATATGCATCCCAGAACAGAGTCATAAAATAAATCGCTCAGCAGCTACACCTGACAATAAAGAAGGAAGTTGGACATCATTGGCCATTGGGCCTATTAACTTGCCTCCTTTATCCTGAGGCGGCTAATTACGTGGCTGCCATGGGGTGCATACCGCTGTCACCTGTGGAATAAGGCACTGCCTGCTCTTCCCCAGAAGACCTATGGGCCTGTGGCCTCTCTTGTCATCAGGAAGCCATGGCTCTTGCATGTCAAGAAAGGATCCCAGCACGCCATGTGGTAGATGCTGCTTCTAAGCAGATGGCTGCAGCCATTACATTGCATCGCCATGCATGGCTTACCATGTTTCCCTGAAAATAAGGCAGGGTCTTATATTAATTTTTGCTCCAAAAAAAGCATTAGAACTTATTTTTCAGGGGATGTTTACTTTTTTTCATGTACTATAATCTGTGTTTATTCAAATACAGTCATGTGGTCTTCTGGTTGCTGCACAATGGGGGAGGGTGGGGTTTCACTTAACTGGGGCTTAATTTTGGGGTAGGGCTTATGAGCATCCTGAAAAATCATACTAGGGCTTATTTTCAGGTTAGCTCTTATTTTTGGGGAAACAGGATAGGAGCAGTTCTCAACTCAATTCGAGGCTGTGCTTTTCTACCAAGAGACAGACAGATGAGTTTCCATTCTCTTACATTTTTGCCTTCCAGGCGCACACGTCACTGCCCACCTTACCCAGCGGCTGGCAGGCCTCATGGCACTTACTACGGTAGTCGTCCAACATGCTTGTCTCAAAATGAGATCACTCCAAGCATGGTGCCTCACTCCAAGCATGGTGTACATTGGTACATCCGCCATCCAAAGTCCTGATAGTATTAGAAGAGCTGGCATCCGGTTTACGTTGTTTTCTTTCTTTCTTTTTCTTTTTTTGCACTATGAAAGGGTTTTCCCAGGTTGCATTGTGCCTGTAGCACCGCCCCTTTTGTAGCGCAATTGGCATTTCGGTTTGCAAAATTTCTGTAATACGTAAAGTCGTGTAGAACAGGATCCATTCTGCAAAGTAAGGTACTACTGTACTTATTTTGCATTACATTGGTTTTCATAGGTAAGACAACCGGCTGAAATAATAAAGTAATTCATGCTATAAAATCAGTAGCTTGATATTGTTACCAAGTACCTGCCTGGTTTCTTATAAGGGAAGCAACCTAACCCTAGTAGCATTTGCTCTGCTGTTTAACTATGATTTTATAGAATGTTTGTGCATTCTTTTTGCTTTAATAAATATAACAGACAACCCAATAACAGAAAATGCCACTTTTTAATTGGGGTACCTTCATAACAAGTTTACCTCTGGTTTTTGTTTTGTTTTTTAATGTCAGGAGCTGTTTTGAACTACTGCTTTCCGTGCCTGAAAGTGAAGAGGAGTGTGAACCATTGTTAAAACTGTTTCAGTCCATACAGGTAAGTACACTTCATGTTGGTTCTGTTGGGAACCTTATTTCATTTATAAATCAGCACCCTTCAAGCTACATTTAAAAGAAACTCTCAATGTATTGGTTTCAGTGAAATCGGGTGTAAAGATTTAGCAAAATAATGCTTTGAGAAACAAAACCCCGTTCAGATATTATTAAAGCATATGAGGAAGACATGCGATGAGGGAGGTTTGGTAACCCTGCCTCCTTTATTATCATTTTCATCATGGAAAAGCAATTGTCTGAAGAGTAAGAGGCTGTTCTGTCCCTGTAGGCTACCCGCATGAAAAAAAGGTTTGGACTCATCTGGGAAGCCTTCCGGAGCAGAACATCATTTTGCTATTTAGATAATCATTTTTCTGTGTGAATACAGAAGAGGTAGGGTAGCATATTTCTCATAGGAGGTGCTCCTCAGATCTTTCATACCAACTGAAATAGTGCCAGTGAATGCTGGAATTTTGAAATAGAAGGAAATATTCTTAGAAAATGTAATTCTGCAACACAGAATGTGTGTTTTTATTTATTATGGGAAAGACAGAAATGTGACAGAAATAATTATAATTATATGATGTATGGAAACATTCCAAGAAATATAAGAGGAGTGTATGCATTAACTTATTATTCTAAGATTCTAATAACTTGTAAAACAGATTAATTTATTTCTCTTTTTTCTTAAACTACAACATAAACATAAAATACATAAACCAAAATACATATCGACTGTGTTCCCCACCACCATAGTCTTGCAATAATCCTCTTCTTTATCTTTTATTCTTCTTCTTCCTTTATTGTCCTCTTCTCCAGAACTGCATTGATTCTTGATTTTGAGCTTTCCCTTTTCCTCTTGTCAGCACATATTCAAGAAATCTGCCCCATATAGAAATTATTCTTTTTCATCTTTCCTTTCTTAATCTTTAAGTTACAAGTTAACTTACCATTTATAGCAGTGTTCCATATTTCATTATACCATTCTTCCATTTGAAACTCAGACCTTGATTTTCAAGTCCTAGCTATTATTAGTCTGGCTGCTGTAAACACAACAACAATCAATTCTCTAGTCATTTTATCATATTCCGCATTCTCAAATATTGATAACAGCTATCTCAGGATTAAATTCAGTATCTTTTTCACATATGTCATTTAGTTAGTTTCCAAAACCTTTATACTTTTTTGCATTCCCACCACATATGAAAATATGTACCAGTTTCCTTCTCACATTTCCAACGGACATTCAGATAACTAGTGTTAATTTTATTCAATTTTGTTGGTGTCAAATACCATCTTAAAGCCAATTTGAATTTTTTTTCTCTTATTATCACCTACATAAATCGTAAAACACTCATTTTCCACATCTTCCTCCATTCTTCATCATTTATTCTTTCTCCTAAGTCTTGTTCCCACACTAACTTCAATCCTTCTTTCTCAATCTCTTCTAGATCAAGCAGGAATCAATAGATTTTGCTCACTGCACCCTTTACTGAATCAGTCATCTGAATATCTTCACATGATAAAAGAAATTGTTCATACTTCATATATTCTCTACCTTTATTATACTTTATCCATTCATTAGTTCATATTTCTAATTGCATATAATTCAACCATGATATTTTGAAGGATTTGTTTCATTTGATCTTTCAATCTCAATTTATACAACCAGTCTTTTAATCTAATCACTTTTTTTCTTTAAATAATTCTGCATAAACTTTCATATTGGCAGGAAAATTCTCTATTTCAGTCACTAATCCTAATTGAAAGTTAAATGGGCATAAATTCTTTCTATACTTGTACCAGACGTTTAACATAGTCTTTAAAAAGGGTTATTAATTTTGCTTATTTTATATTTCTTAATCACACCAAATGGATGTTTTTCTACATCCACCTGATGATTCCATTTTCCACCAAATTAACCTTTCTGGGTTATATATAATTTCCCCAATGAACCTCAACTGATAAGCGAAATAATATTTTTTAATATTTGGTATGCCTATACCTCCTTCTTTTGGTGTTTTATACAGATACTTTTTTATTTATTCTGTGTCTCTTCCCTTCATTACAGTATTTATTAATCATTCTTTGCCAAAATTTAAAATCATATTCTGTTAACTGTACTGGTAACATTCTAAAGAAAATTTTTTTTTGGTAGAATCTTCATTTTTATCAGTGCGATCCTTCCAAACAGAGTGGTTGTCTGACCAAATACAATAAATAAATAAATAAATACACAATAAATGTTTTTAAGTTAGTACATTCCTGTAGTTTCTTTTTAATATCTCCTTTTAATTTATTATAATTATGTTCCTTTATTTTTTGAGTATCTTTTACTTAATCTATACCTAAATATTTAACCGATTTACATATTTTAAAATCATATTTATCAACAAACTTTTCTTGTTCTAGTTTATTATGATTAAACATTATTTCAAATTTTTACCAATTTACATATTTTCCAAATTTTTCTAAATGAATTTTAATTCTATCTATACTTTCTAATGAGTTTTTCACTGTCAATAGAGAATCATTAGCAAATAAATTAATATTTATTTTATTATTTCCACCCATACCTTCAATTAAATCATCATTCCTTATTACATTTGTTAACATTTCAATAATCAAACAAAAACAGAACTGGACAAAGAGGGCAACCTTGTCTAGTGCCTCTGCCTACAGCTATCTGCTCTGTCATCCCATCATTAACAATTACCGCAGAAATGTTCTCCAAATATAATTGATCTATTACCCCCCCTAAATTTCTTTCCAAAACCCCAACCCTTTAAAAGGATCTTTAATGTTGGCCATTCTACACAATTGAATGCCTTAAAAATGTCTAATAAAATACCTGCTTTTGATTTATATTTTTCTATATTATATATAATATTCAAAACCCTCCTAATTAAATGTTCCATTTGTCTTCCTTTAAAAACCCATTTTGATCCTCTTTGATATATTTTGTAATAAACTTACTCATTCTATTTGCCAAGATTGCAGTAAATATCTTTGCATCTTAATTTAATAATAAAATAGGTCTATAAGAATGGGTCTGTCAGATCTTTATTGGTCTATCAAATCTTTATTGGGTTTTTGAATAAGAGTTGTTAATGAATATTTCCAAGAACCTGGTATTTTCTCTCCTTCCAATATTCCATTATAAAGTATTTCTAACCTGGGGATCAATATTGATTTAAAAGCTTTATAATATTTTGATCCCATTCCATCAAAGCCTGGAGTTTTACCATTTTTTAGTTAATAACCTCTGTAATCTCTTCATCCTTTATCTCTTTATCTAATTCTCTTTTATCATTCTCTAATAGTTTACTCTTTAAATTTTTTTAATATAATTTTCTATATCTTCTTTCAATGTACCTTAATATAAGGTAAAATTCTTGTAATATTAATTTTTTCCTTTATTAGGCTACAGTTCTTTCCTGCTTTATCCCTGATCACTCCAATTGTGTTTTTTGATCTTTTAGTTTGAGCTACCCTAGCTAGAAGCTTTGAGTTTTTACTACTATACTCGAAAAAATTCCTCTTTGAGTATATCAAATCCCTCTGAACCTTTTCTATGCTTTCTAACTCTCCTTTTAGCTTGAATCTCTAATAATTTTTAATTATCTCTATAAAATATTTACTTTCTAAATCTTTTAATGATTCTTCTATTTTTTATATTCTCTCAGTTTTTTATCCTACATTATTCTCTTATGGCAGTTCCTCTCATAACTACTTTCATAGTGTCCCATAACACTCCTATTTTACTTCCACCTGCTTCAGTTATTGACCATATTTCCATCCATTCTTTTTAGCTCTATACATTACATATGTATACTGAAAAATATTGGAATCTATTCTCCATCTTCTAGCTTCTTTGTAATCTTTCTTAACTTTCATCTCCACCATCAACACATGATCCATTATTTTTATCACAATATTTGTATCTACTTTAGAAATTAAATTTTGAGATATACAGTGGTGCCCCGGAAGCCGATTGCCTTGCGGCACGATTAATCCGCAAGATGATGGGTTTTTGCGATCGCTATTGTGCTTTGCAAAACAGTTTTTCCTATGGGCGATTTTTGCTAGACGATGTTTGGGTCCGTGCTTTGCAAGACGGTTTTTTTTTTTAAGACTGATGCTTTGCAAGACGGTTCCCCCCTTGCTGGAACGCATTTGGGGAACTGCATTTTGCAAGACAATGTTTTCTATGGACGATTTTCGCAAGACAATGATTTTTCCCCCCATTGGAACACATTAAATAGATTTCATTGCATTCCAATGGGGAACTGCGTTTCGCCAAACAACGATTTTTGCGGAATGAATTAACATCATCTTGCGAGGCACCACTTAACATAAAATCTATTCTTGAATAACTATCATGTACAGTGGTGCCTCGCTTAACGGGCGCCCCGTTGAGCGATTAAATCGCTTAACGAGGGGCTCCGAGCCATTGCTGGAGCATTTGCTCAGCGATGGCCCCTATGGAGTTTTTTCGCTTTGCATAACGCAGTGGGGGAGAACAGCTGATCGGCGGTTCCAAAATGGCCGCTGGAAGGTCCATGCCGCATTTTCGCGCCCTGCCCTCGCTTACCAAGGGCGCGAAAATGGCGGCGCTATGGAGGAACATCGCTTAACGGTGAGTTTTCAAGCCATATGGCTTTCCCCGTTCCGTTCAGCGATGTTTCTGCATAGCAAGGGTTAATCCGGAACAGATTAACCTCGCTATGCGAGGCACCACTGTATAAAGGAATAATATGTAAACCTTCTTTCATCTCCCTTCAATTCTCTCCATATATCTTTTAAATCCGTCGTTTAAAATATCTTACTTAATATGGTACTTCTTTTATTCCACTCATCTTTTTTACATAGAGTTTTATCCTTTACTTTATCTAACATTATATGAAAATCTCCTGCCATAATAACTTATCCCTTTCTAACCTTCTCCATCTCTTTAACGACAGTTTTATAAAATTCTCCTTGATTCACATTTGGTGCATAAACATTTACTAATGTATAATCTTCTTCCCCCATTAGTCCCTGTACTTTCAAACATCTACCATAACTATCTTTTACTACTTCTTTTACCACAAATTCACAATGTTTAGAAATCAGTATCGCCACACCTTTGGATTTGGAAGTCCCTAATCCTTTTTCATAAATGTCTATATTTTGTAATTTCAGTTCATTAACTCCATCCTTTGATTGTTTAGTCTCTTGTAGATAAATAATATCCACCTTGTTCTCTTTCAATAATGTTTCTATTCTTTTCCTCTTTGTTACAGACCCTAGGCCTTTCACGTTTAAAGTACATACCCTAATGTTTTTCCCCATATCCGTTCTATATCCCATCTTTTTTGGGGTCCCGTTGTGCATCCCACAAAACAAAAACACCCAAAAAACACAAATTCACATTGTTCACGTGTCCAACTTTTAGAAATCTTATCTCTATATTTTCTCATAAGCAAAGCAAAATATTCGTAGCACAGGAAAACAAAGTAGTTTTTTACAGCTCATTAGCTGTTCAAATTTCACTGACGTTCTTCCAATCGAAAACGAAAGTGCATTTCCCAGGGAGCCAGGCTTTTACAGTTTAAAAAGCACTTCTATCTCTGCTTGAACTTTTCACAAAGAATTTAAGCAGATTTACTCACATTTCAAGAAGGGAAAAAGGCATTAAGCAACTTATTTACATTCAGCAGGGCGAGGAGATGAAGACTCAGCTGCGCATCCCGTCCCGGCGGAAGTGACATCTTCAGATTAATTTATTTCTCCCTTCTCTCCAAATTTGAAGACCCTTCATGAGAAACTTTAAATAGGCTTTTAAATCTTGACTTAAGTCTTGGTGGTCGACTGCAACAAAAGATACTTAAAAGGGATCTCTGGTAAAGAAAAAGTTAAGAACCACTGCCTTAAGCACTGTCTGCCCCTGTCTGCCTGGGAGCAGTACTGGGCACATTTTGAGCTGTTAGCAGTACAAAAAATGTCCACAGCTGGTTCGCCCCAGCACAACACACGCTGATCGTGTACCCTGTGGGACAATTCCCACTCATGGGTCCGAGTCAGTATACAGCTGGTCAGATCTGCTGTTTTACTGTTTGTGCTGGAAAAATGAATCACTATTGGGCGATGCACCACACTCAAATGAGACCAGAGAGATAAAGTAGACTGAGGGACTTGGTACTGCCTTGTTGAAGAAATACATTGTGGTTGTATTGTCCGTGGCATTTTGGACAGTGCAGCTTTGAATCACATTCCAGAAGGCTCTGAGGGCTTTGAAGATAGCCAAGAGTTCTAGGAATTGGATATGAAGGGACCTCTTGTGTGGGGACAACATCACCTGTACTTCCCTGTGAAAGCAGTGCACTTCCCATCTCATCATACTGCCATTGGTGACTATGAAGTGGGATGGGTGTGGCTGTTGAAAAGGAGTTCTGAGTTGGTTGTTCTGGTTTTTTTCGGGCTCTTTGGCCGTGTTCTGAAAGTTGTTCTTCCTAACGTTTCGCCAGTCTCTGTGCCCGGCATCTTCAGAGGACAGCAACCTGTGCTCTGGTCTGAGCACAGGTTCTGAGTTGCTGAGTTGCTTTCCACTGAAATTGTCACTTGAGCTGCAGTGAAAGAAACAGCCTTTTGTTTGGAGAGCCCCTTCTATTGTCAGTAATAATAAGGTGGAAATATTGGAGTGGATGCATCCTGAGTCTGGAGTGAGGCAGAACAGCCATGGTAGATGCCATAAGTCCTAGCACTCGTTGGAGGGAAGGGACTGATGTGTGCTGAGTAAGTTCTTGAATTGAATGTATCATGGTGTCTGTGTACGGTTGAGGGAGAAAGATTCACTCATGTGTTAAATAGAGGAGCACCCCGATGTAGTGGATGGTCTGGGATGGGATGGGATTTTTCTGTACAGTAGTACCTCAGTTTACGGAATTAATGCGTTCTACGGGACGTTAAGTAAAGTGAAAAATTCGTAAACCAAAACATGGATTGCCATAGGAACGGGGGCGAGACGCTACAAACCTCCAGGCACTTCTCCATTCTGGGGAAACTTTTTTCGTACTCTGAAAAAAAAAACGTAAACTGAGTCATTATTTTCCATGGATATTGTTTCGTAAACCAAAAATTACGTTAACCGAGGCATTCGTAAACCGAGGTACCACTGTATTGTAGCCTGAGCCTTGAAAGTAGTTGCAGGGTAAAATGTACGTTGGCCTGCAAATTTTCCTGACAGTTTGCAATGAGCAGTCAGTTGTTGATATAGGGGAAGATGGCGATGCCTTGAATTCTGAGGAAAGCTGCCACTGGTGCCATGCACTTTGTGAACACTCTTGGGCTATAGACCGTCTCACGGGAAGTGCATGGAATTGATAGTCTTGGTCGCTGACAAGGAAACTGAGAAAGCGTCGGTGGCATGGTTGGATCAAGATGTGGAAGTATTCATTGTGGAGATCTGAACCCTCATTGAAGGAGAAGAAGGATAGACTCTAATGTTCCCATCCAGTAACTGTAACATTCACCTCTCGCTAAAGAGAGTTTGATGTTTGAACAGGGAGTCACTGTGGGCACAAAACTACCACCTGTATCTCTGAGGTTGGTCCCTTAGGCCTCAGAAGTGTGTAGAGTAAGCCCCACAGACAAGACTGACCTTAGAAGAAAACCTTTGCTTACTTTCCAAGTAATTGACTTTGTGCTTGCTTAGACAGCACAACAGACCAGCAAGGTAGGACCTGTTAACAAATCACCACTGGATTTATATGTGAGTCCTGCTGTGTCAAAGATAAGTCTTCTCTTAAGAAGTATATTAGTTTTTTATTTAAAAAATCAATCATTTTTCTACATGTCTTGACCCTCCTTCTCCCTGACACTTCTTAGCTGCTAACCAATTAATCACAAGAAAACTTAACACAACTTTCCACCCATAATTCACATGGGTCCACAGGTGGCTTATCTCGCTTGCAATTAAGCGGGATACATGTTTGGTCTTCTTTGAGTATCTCTGTGGCCTTGCCTCCTTATCTCAGGTATCTTCTGTACCAGGCAGTAAATCTGAAAAAACGGTCTCATGCATTCCATGGCTTTCAACTCATCTTCCACAGAACCTAACAAACTCCATTTTATGTAACTACAATTCCTAGTATCCTTCAATTCATTACAGTAACATTTTGGGATTATGTATTTGTTGAGGGTGCAGAGATATAGGACACAGCCCACCATCTCTCTTGGGAATGGTAAAATACCAGGAAAAGAAGCCAGCTAAGAAATGATGAAGGGATACCCTGGAGATGGCTCCCTTTCTCAGCAGGGTACAGATTTCTTCCTGTAGGATGGGAGAGGATGGGGTGCATCAGATACGTCTTGTAGGTGGAAGGGTGGAAAACTCTATGGCATATTTGTGGGCTATGATGTTGAGGACCCACACATCCTAGGTGATAGTGGATGCATGTGCTGAGCTCGGGTTATAATGCATCAAAACTGTTGCTCAGGTTTCCTCTCTGCCTTCTTAGTGGATGTTGCCAGCTTGTATTTAGTGGAGGAAGAGGCTGGGTTGAAATGATGTTGAGTAGATCAGTCTAATGTCTTTGACTGTTGAGATGGAGATTTGTAAGTGGAGAGGGCGCTTCCAGTGGGAGTGGTCAGTCATGTTGTGGTGCTGGATGGCATGTGGTTATCCCCACCTTTTTCGCATCCATTTTTTTGAGGAGGTCATGCATGAAGTTGTCTATTTTGGTGTTGAAGAGACCGTCCCCATCAAAAGGGACGTCCTCAATGTGGGACTTGGAGTCTTCAGGGAGATCTGCTGAACGAAGCCAGGCATGTCGGGGGGCGGGGTGATGGTTGTTGCCGTGCTTTTGGTTGCATAGTCTGCCACATGGTGAGCCAAATGAATTTGCTGCCCTGCCATTGAAAACAAATGGAAAATAAAAACATTTTCTCATTTCATTTTCTATGTTTCATTTTCATATGATCTGTTTCATGATTTTATGTACTTGTAGTTTCAGTTTCTCCAACAAGAATTAAATACAATGTATGATGATGATGATTAACCTGTATGGAATCATTCCAATAAAAATACTATAATAGGAGTTTAAATAAATATTTATAGTAAACTTTAAGTATTTGATGCACTTAGTGTTTTAAATATTGAGTTAAGTCTTGGTGGTCCATGGCAACAAAAGATATTTAAAGGGGGCCTGTGGTAAAGAAAAGGTTAAGAACTGCTGTCTTATAGCTCAGTTTCTGCCAATTGAAACTACTTAGCCAGCAGTGACCGACAGCACTTTTTCCTTTTTATGTCACAATAGGATTCCCATAATTCTTTACTTGAATTTGGAGATAGCAGTCTTGAAATATTGGCTGACATCTCCAAAGAAGGTGTGTGGAAGAATCCAGTTCTTTTAAAGATTGTATCACAGCAGCCAGTGGACACAGAAGAAGGTAAGATATTGGTGATTTCTTTTGGAAACTTCTAGTTTTCTGGTGTGAAAACCAACTCTTCTTTTCTAATAGAATTTTTTGCTGGTGAAGAACTGAGTAGTGATAGGTATTCATACATTCTTTGCTGTAGTATTCTGCTTCTTTTATTGCGAATCCCGAACTGTCCTTTTTAGTTTATTGATCAGTCATCAGTTTACCTGTTCTAAAGCCCCTATTGTAATGAAATCTGTCTCTTCTGTCAAATGTCCAGCTAGCAACATCAATGTCTAAATTATCCAGATCTTGCAAGACCCATTAAACACATTGATTCTTGAGTCATAAGAAAAGTTTGGTTTTATCTTTGATTGCAGGTATTGTACATTAGTCTTGCGGTTATTTTAAACTGGGATAACTGAACTGGAATGGGATTTCTGTATCTGGAAATCTTTGCCTTTTCATTTACTGCAATAATTTAGACTGTGAAGTGAACTTAGAGATGCTGACATAATAGGATAAGGATACAGACCATAAATGGCAACCACCTACTGCTACGTCCTAATGCACGAGATAAGTTATTGTGAGAAACTAATATGTGGTGATGCTTTGTTACCTTTTCCAGTCAATGTGCTGATTAAACGAGAAGGACCAGCTTTTCTGCAGATGCGAATAAAACATTTGATGAAGACAAACTGCCTTCCTCAAGCTGCTTCATTGTCCAAATTGTGTAAAGATTCCACAGAAATTTCAGATGTATCACCTTTCCTTCAAGCCTACATCACATGTTTGTGCTCCATGCATCCAAATGAAGAATCTATCAGAGAGGTGAGTGAGCAGTCACTGTAGCCTGGTTCTGTCAAAAGTGAGGACATTGTTTCTTCAGCAACAGTAAAAACAGATAGAAGACTATAGTCAAATCATAGAACATGATGGGCAAGACACAACTCCTGTGTGGCTGTGTAGCCGGAATGGAATCTGAGATCTTCCCCTTTCACTAACTGGGGAAGGATTAATGCAGGATCCCAAGTTCTGTCTTTGTCTTCAGCAGGATGGAAACTCTCCTTTGACCTTCTTAACAGAAATAAGGGTGAAGGTGAATAGATCTCCTATTATGGATCTAAACCTTTGCTGTTTTGGATCTGTTTTGGAAGGATGGTAGTAGTTCATTATGTCTGTACTTTTTTTTCTTGTTTATTTTCTCTACAGCTTTTCAGTACTGTGCTAAGTCATTTAAAATTGGGAAGCTGTTGTCTTATCAATCTAAAAAAAGTTCTAAACCGGTTGTAGTGCCTTAATTTAACTGACCACAGAAAACAACACATGGCAGATAACAGCACTTTTGGATCTCTCAGATCACACAATGTGTGAGTGGGAGAAAAAGATGTAAATGGTGGAAATAAAAGAATTACGTGAAAATAAAGTTTACTATTTGTCTTTATGTCAGTTACTGCAGAATCTACATTTCTGTGGTTTTTTTCTTTAAATTCCTTCAAAGGAATCCTACAAACTGCAGTTCTGTAAGATCACAGTGATATAATAGGTCAGTATTTATTCATTTAGTTAATATCTGAAATGGCTAGTTATATTCTGATTTTTATAAGTCAGCAATATATCTGGGCTTGAGCTAGTTGTAGCAGTGACACTGAGGCATAACTTTGTGTTACAGATAGCCTCTGAATTAGCACACAGTATTGCAGAAAGACCAGAAGGTGCTTCTGTAAGCTACCATGCTTGTGCAAAGGGAAAGATGCCCTTCTATAAATTTTTACTACTAAATTCTGTTTCCTTTTTTAAAGATTGCGAAGGTAGACTGCAAAGTAGTTCTGGATATGATCTGTAACCTAGAAACCGAGGGCCAAGAGAGTACTGCATTTATTCTTTGTACCACATACCTCACTCAGCAGCTTCAGACTGCAAGTGTGTACTGCTCTTGGTAAGTAAGTGATTTGTTCAAATATTTATTAAATTTCCATATTTGTGTTTTGCCATTAAAGAAGCTCTTAGGTTTGTTGTTATGTGCTTGCGCAACCCTATGAATGAGTGATCTTCAGAATGTCCTGTCCTCAACCGCTCCACTCACCTCTTGCATACTCAAACCTTTGGTGTCCTTCAGAGAGTTAATCCCGCTTGAATTTGGTCTTCCTCTTTTCCTGCTTCATTTAACCTTTCCAGCTCCATTGTTTTTTCCAGAGAATCTTGCCTTCTCATGATTTGCCCAAAGTTGGCCAGACTCCTTTTCATCATTTTTGCCTCCAGAGTTCAAGCTTGACTTGATCTAGGACCCACTTGTTCATCTTTCTGGCAGTCTAGGGTATATGCAAAGCTCTCCTCCAGCACCATATTTCAAACGAATCATTTTTCCCTGTCATCTTTCTTGACTGTCCAGCTTTCACACAAATATATGGAAATTCTAAAGGCACAACTACAAACAATTGCTACAAGAAAAACTGGTGGGAGACAGCAAAAAAGGCTAGCGTGACTTCACAAAAAGCTCAGCGAGGACCTGAAAACAACAAAAATACACATATAGGAAGTGGAAAGGAATGCATTCAAGAGGATTGAAAGAACTGGCTGAAGAACTTTCAGAACCACTGTCTGTTATGTTCTTGAAATCATTGGAAATGGGTGAGGTGCCAGTTAAGTGGAGGAGGACTAACACTGTCCCTATCTTTAAAAGGGGCAAAAAAAGGAACGTCGGAAGTACAGACAAGTCAGCCTGACATAAATCTCAGGGAGAATTCTGGAACAGATTATAAAGCAGCCCCTATGCAGTCACTCAGAAAACAATGCAGTAATAGCTAGAGGCCAGCACAGATTTGTCAAGAACAAATTCTGGCAGGCTAACTGATAGACTGAATGCTGTATTTCTTGAAATCAACAAAACATTATAGAAAATGGCCCATGATATTTTGATTAGCAAGCTAACTAGGTGTGGGCTGGAGAGAAAACTGTCAAGTAGATACACAGTTGGGTACAGAATTGTACTCGGAGAGTGATGATTGATGGCTTCTTCTTAGGCTGGGTGAGGTAACAAGTGGGGTACCTCAAGGCTCTGTCCTGGGTCCAGTGATCTTTAGCATTTTTATTAATGACCTGGATCAGGGGATGCAGGGGATGCTGATCAAATTAGCAGATGACACAAAATTGGGTGGAATAGTTAATACCCTGGAAGGCAGAAACAACATTCAAAATGATCTAGATAGATGAAAACAAGAAAATGAAATTTACCAGGGATAAGTGCAGAGTACTGCACGTAGGAAAAAGAAACCAAAAACACAGTTAAAAGATGGGTGATACCTGCCTCAACAATACTACAAGCACCAGCAAGAATGATCTTGGAATTGTCTTTAGTAGTTTATTGGCTCTCACTGAAGTGAGAGCTGGACCATAAAGAAAGCTGACCGCCGAAGAATTGATGCCTTTGAATTGTGGTGCTGGAGGAAGCTCTTGAGAGTCCCCTGGACTGCAAGGAGAACAAACCTATCCATTCTGAAAGAAATCAACCCGGAGTGCTCACTGGAAGGACAGATCCTGAAGCTGAGGCTCCAATACTTTGGCCATCTCATGAGAAGAGAGGACTCCCTGGAAAAGACCTTAATGTTGGGAAAGTGTGAAGGCAGGAGGAGAAGGGGACGACAGAGGATGAGATGATTGGACAGTGTCACCGAAGCAACCAACATGAATCTGACCCAACTCCGGGAGGCAGTGGAAGATAGGAGATCCTGGCGTGCTCTGGTCCATGGGGTCACGAAGAGTCGGACACGACTAAACGAACGAGTTTATTGGCAAATCATACAAGCTGAATATGAGACAACAGTGTGATTTGGTTACAAAAGAAAAACAAATGCTATTTTGCATTGCATTAACAGAAGTATAGTCTCCAAATCCTATGGGGTACTATTTTCCCCTCTATTCAGCACTGGTTAGTCCTCATCTTGAGTACCGTGTCCAGTTCTGGACACCGTACTTCAAGAAGGATGCCAACAAATTGGAACAAATTCAGAGGAAGGCAACAAGGATGATCAGGGGGCTGGAAATCAAGCCCTATGAAAAGAATTGAGCATGTTTAGCCTTGAGAAAAGAAGATATGATAGCACTTCTGGATGATCTTGGTCTTGGTCTCTAGTGACACATCCTTACACTTGGTGATCTTTTTTTAATTCCTTCATAGCAGCCTTTTCGAGTCTCAATCTTTTCCTGATTTCTAAGCCCTTAGGTAATAGATGATAAAATAACAACTTGGTAATGGTTCCTTCTGTTTTTTCTTCTAAAAAAATTGACAGAATGACTGGATTGCTCTGTTTCATATACTGTTAAATCTGTGACTATCTTTCCACTGTTTCCTAGGAACTAAAAGGTGGATATTGGGGAAAAATGAATCTGTTGTATGTTGCTGAACAAAGTGAGGTCAACCATGGAGAAATAGGGATGGGAGACACAGAATTACTGGCTTTTTTCACTTTATTTATAAAAGTTGGTTGGCAAATCATACTATCGAATTTTGGTAGCAAACCTCTAAATGCCATTAAAGAAAAGTAAAAATGCTTGTTTTAAAATATTTTTATTATTTGCTGTTGAAGTTCAAAAGCAAATCATGAAGAATAAGCATTCAGCACTTCAATTTTGCTCTGACAGCAATTTAATTGTCCCAAGATACATCAAGTCATATACTACTCATGGAATACATTTGGTCAATGAAATTACTCTCAGTATTTTAAGGTGGTTCTTCATCAGATTTTGTTCTTTGTGCATTTAAATATTATTACTGCTTGAGCCTCCCCTCATCACCCAGATTCTGCAAGCAGAAGCTACGTCATTTTTATGGCCAAAACTTGTTATCAAACACTTTAAGCCTTCTCCAGTAACTCAGGCCTAATAACTGTATTAATACTGTATGTTACTGGATTTTTTTCTTGTTATCTGGTGGTGTTCAAGCTTTTTTTTCTTGTTATCTGGTGTATGCTATAGTGTCAGTGATCTGTAAGATTTCATACATGTACACTATTATGTTTTCTCTCTCTAGGGAACTAACTTTATTTTGGAGCAAGCTACAAAGAAGAATCGATCCATCTTTAGATTCTTTCCTGGAGCGATGTCGGCAGTTTGGCATTATTGCTAGAACACTACAACATCTGTTCTTCTTGATAAGAGTCATACAAGCTGAAGTACGTGCCTTTCTGTGGTCTGCTGCCAGCTGTTACCTTTATCTTTGGGTAAACAAAATGTATCACGAGATTAGCTTGTTTTTAAAAAAACCAGAAAGATGGTAACATTTGGGTTTATCTGCTGCAGTCACCAATGGCAGATTTCTTTGGCTGGAGACAGTACTGTATCTTTACCTTTCTTGCAGCTTCACCAGGCTGCTATCCTCTGTTCTGCAGGGGTGTCTTGTTTATTAGTTAGGAATATTTCTGTAGTGCTGCTTATTTGTAGAAATCAGGTACCAAGGTTGGCTGGCTTTTTTAGGGAAAAAAGCTTGGGCTCTAAGGAGACTCCAGGAAAGGTGAAGGCCTTTTTACAGTTATGAGCTAATGCTGTGGCTTCTGAGTTGGCTCATTTACTCTCTGGTGCAGGTGGGTGCTTTACAATAGGAAAGTATGTTTCAGTTGGCAAAAAATGTTTAGTGACTCATTCATTTATTTTCTCTTGGAACGACTGGTGTAACATTATGGGTTATATTTGTGACATGGATATTCCACATTTAAATCTCTAGCCAGAAACTCTTAAGCTGCCGTCCTTAATATCTACAGTAAGAGGTTAATGGTACCAGGTTAGTAGTAATATTGATTATGACTAGCGATGGGTGATTCAAATCTCCTGGGAGAGATGAATACAGAACCCACCATTACAGCTGGCCACCCTCTCCCCACAACCGGGTGTCTACTTACAGCATGGCACATGCTGCTGTTGATCTTCTCTCTGCACCAATCACAGAAGTAGCCTGGCTGGGGCTTCCGTACCTCCCTGTGTTGCTGGCCAATCTGGTGAGGGGGCAGGATAACAAGCCTCTCTGCACAGCCACTGATTGGTCAGCAGCACAGGGAGGCATGGAAGCCCCAGCCAGGCTACTTCTGCAATTGGTGTAGACAGATGACCAACACCAGTGCATGCCAAGCTGTAAGTGGATACCCGGTTGGGTGGTGGGAGGGTTTAATCAGGCTGGCCAGCTCTGATGGCGGGCTTTGTATTTGCCTCCCCCAGGATTACGATACTGCTGTACCAGGAAAGGGGTGACAGTAATGGTATCTTGGCTTATTCTACTTTAAAAGGTTCTTCCAGGAGTAACATAAGTTGGGGCAGGGAACTGCCACCCTGGACTGCCACTACTTGGTAGGATTTTTAAAAATGGAAATTAGTTGGTGCTCTTTAAAAGGTTTAATGAAATAACATCAGTAATAGTATTTGGGGAAAATGTATTGAATCATGGAATGGTGATAACATAGGTGAAAAATGTGGATCGAAATATTCAGAAAGAGCAACCTGTGTTTATTTAATAGGCTTTTATTCTATTGTGTTTATGAATTGATATATTGGGGGAAATTAATTTATGTTTTCTTCTCTCCTCTTTTTCAAAATTAGGCTGAAGAAGCAGGGCTTGCTGTGTCAATTCTGTTATGTGTGAGAGCCCTGCAGCTCAGATCGAATGAAAATGATGACATGAAGACCTCTGTATGCAAAACCATTGCATGCCTTCTGCCAGAAGACCTTGAGGTTCGGAGAGCATGCCAGCTCACTGAATACTTGCTGGAGCCAAGTGAGGAGGGGTACAATCTACTGGAAGAACTCTACCTGCAACCAGACCAGAAATTTGATGAAGAAAATGCTCCCGTTCCAAACTCACTCCGTTGTGAGCTCCTGTTGGCTTTGAAGGCTTATTGGCCATTTGATCCAGAATTTTGGGACTGGAAAACTTTGAGGCGAAATTGTCTCAGACGGTTAGGGAAAGAAGTTTCCGAGTCAGAGGAAGACCTGAGTTGCAACGAGATGATGTTCAACGAAACTGAACTGTTAGATAGTCTCCTCAGTGACTGTGAAGAAACCAGGGAAGAAAATAATTTTGAAGGTCTAAATCAGCCTAAAGAAAGAGTGAGGGTCAAAAAGCCAATAGGCTCCTCAGAAAGATACCAGAGGTGGCTTCAGTACAAGTTCTTCTGTCTCATCTGTAAAAGGGAGTGTATAGAGGCCAGAATACTTCACCATTCTAAGATGCATATGGAGGATGGCGTTTTTACATGTCCAGTGTGCATAAAAAAGTTCAAGAGGAAGGATGTCTTTGTGACTCATGTAATGGAGCATGTGAAAATGCCTCCTAGCAGGAAATACCGTGCAAAGAAAAAAATCCTGATAAAGAAAGAGAGATTGACAAAGAACAGTCTACCTGTTGCTTCCACACGACTAGAAGAAAATCAATCATTGGAAATAATACCCTGCAAAAAACCCAGAACTGACACACAAGACTATGTCACGTTTAGCAAGCTGGAAAACTGCCACTTGCAGGACAGAGACGTATACCCATGCCCAGGCACAGATTGCTCTAGAGTGTTCAAGCAGTTCAAGTACTTAAGTGTTCATTTAAAAGCTGAGCACCAAAACAATGACGAAAATGCAATGCACTACTTGGACATGAAAAACAGGCGTGAGAAGTGTTCGTACTGCAGGAGGCATTTCATGTCAGCATTCCATCTACGGGAGCATGAACAGGTGCACAGTGGTCCTCAGCCTTACATGTGTGTGTCTGTGGGATGCTATGCTAGGTTTGGCTCTGTGAACGAGTTGTTACATCACAAGCAGCAACATGATGATCTGCGTTATAAATGTGAGCTCAGTGGGTGTAACATTGTTTTCAGTGACTTGGGACAGCTCTACCACCATGAAGCTCAACATTTTAGAGATGCATCGTACACATGTAATTTCCACGGCTGTAAAAAGTTCTATTATTCAAAAACAGAGTTTACAAATCACTTGTCGATGCATATTTCCAATGGTGAAATGAAGGAAGTGCCGATTAAACATGAGGAAAATGTTTCTAGGGACAGGCTTGTCTGCCTCTCAGATTCAGAACTGTATGAACAAGAAGGCCCATCTCATCTTCCTGAGAGTCTTAGTTTGCCTTCTGGATCTACAAATTCAGAAGGAATCTTAGACATTAAACAAGAGCCTTTATCTGATGGTGAGGTGGATGGCAAAAGTAATGGCAGTTTTGTAAGCAGTGTTGCTTCCCCAGCCAATGAGAAGCAGATGACCGTATTGACTGAAACAATAGACTGTGCGAATTCAGTTTCTGGTGTTTTATTGCCCCATGACAAAGTCTTCCTCCCATCCAATTTAAAAGAGCAATACTCAAATGTGGCTGTCTACTTTGATGGGAAAAGGTTTACCTGTGGCTTTGAAGGTTGTGGATCAACATACAAAAATTCAAAGGGTATACAGAAACATCTTCGAAGGGCTCATCCATACCATTTCAAACTTAGAAGGAAGCTAGGCCTGAAAGCTAAAGATGCTAATCAGTTAACTGAACGTCTGCAAAATAGCACTGCTGGAGAGATTCATTCAGAGGTCCAGAATCATCCAAATATAAATGCAGACTCTCTGGGCATTATTGATTGTAATACAAATTCTAAAAATAAAGGCTATTTAAAGGAAGAACCCTGGCCCTCTTCCCCGGAAACCTCCTTTTTTGAACATCCTAAAGCATCAAGCACAGAAGATGCAATGTTGGAACTTCTTTTGGGCTTGAAGCATTTAAGTTTGAAAAATACAAGCGCTCGTCTTGGAAGTTCTTCCAGTCTACTGCAGTCATATCCATCAAAGTGCCCCAACTCTGAAGATGAATCTACCTCAGACCATTACTTTGAAGAGCAGCAAGGCAAATTACCAAACCAATACCTTACTCAATTGGCAGCCAAGCCATTTTTCTGCGAGCGCCAAGGTTGCACTTGTGAATTTGTGACACGAGAAGCATTGTTGACTCATTATGTTAGAAAACACAATTATTCAAAGGAGATGGTGCTTCAGTTGAACATGTTTCAGTATCGCTATTCACCTTTTAAATGTCATATTTGCCAAAGATCATTTACAAGAAAAACGCATCTTAGAGTACATTATAGGAACAAGCATAAGCTTGGCAAAGTGACAGCAACTCAGAAACTGTTTGCTAATGAAAGTTTTGAAGATATGGGTGATTATGCTGAGGATACGCTGAACAGCAGTGTGGCTTCTGTGTCTCCTTTCTATGCCAATACAGAGGAAGAGCTTGATGACCAAGCTAAACTTACTGATGAACAGCTCTGTCATCCCAAGAAGGAAGACCTCAGTTCTGAAACAGATCTGGAGTCTAGTGAAGATGCAGAAAGCTGTATATCTGGGAAACAGACTAAACTCTCTGCTCTGGAAAGCCATCGGAAAGGTCTGGAAGCACAAGAGGGAAGGGGAAGTAAAAGAACAGTTGCCAAAGGAAACTTATGTTACATTTTACATAAATACCACAAGCCGTTCCATTGTATTCATAAAAATTGTAATTCTGCCTTTACCAACCAGAAAGGCTTGATTCGTCACTACAGAACTGTACATCAGTATAACAAAGAGCAGCTCTGCCTGGAGAAAGACAAAGCGAGATCGAAGAGGGAACTTGCCAAATGTAAAAAAATATTTGTGTGTAAACATAAGGCATGCAGCAAGCGTTTCTTGTGTTCCAAATCACTTGCTAAGCACTGCAGTGACTTTCATGCCCTTGACCATGAGGAGGATTCAAAAGTGCTTTCTGAAACTGAAGCAGTGAGATTCCCTTGTCGTCATCCTCACTGTCCTGCTGCATTTTATTCCCTGCACAAGCTACAGCATCACTTGACGGAAGAACATGCTAAGGGGGGAGAAATGAATAAAGATATTGAAATCCATTGTGATCGTAATGGCTGCAACCGGGTTTTCACAACTTACAGCCGCTATGCGCAGCATGTATATTTTCGACACAGTGATTATGATGGGATGTCGGGAGGTACCAAAGAAAAAGGGAACCACCTCAAAGATAACCGGGAACAAAGCTGCTTAAAAAATCGATGTCTCAGACATGAAGTGAGTGAGAAAAAGAGACAGACCAATGAAAAAGTTGAAAAGAACAATAATAAAAATAAAGGAAAGCAGTTGTATAACTTCAGAACAAAGGAGGAAGCCCTGCAGATGTGCAGAGACAACTGCAACCAGACACAGTATCCTTGCATGATTCAGGGGTGTCCCTCAGTAGTAAAACTGGAAAGCAGTATTGTGAGACATTATAAGCGTACCCATCAGATGGCCAGTGTTTATATAGAGCAGCAATATGAGGAACTTGTACTTTGTGTTGAATGTGGTACTGTGATAAATGACTCCTGTTTAGAAGCAAATCGGGGTTCAAATAAAGAAGCAAGCCGAAACTTTAAGCAGGAGATGACAGTGCATTCTGCATATCAACATGGAAGGGAAGAGCAGCTTGTTCTAAACTCAGATTGTGATCATGATGAGAGAGGCATTAAAAATGGCAGGTGCTCTGTGGGTGACACAGCCCAGGAGGCTGGTATCATTTTGTGTACAGACCCTTTAAAACATGTCCACAATTCCAAAACCAGATGTTTTGAAGAATGTAATCGAATGAAGTCAGCTCAGCAGTGTGAAGCAGAAGACTTTCCAGGAACTGATGGGAGAGAGAACATCTACTCCACAAAGTCAGATGTACAGTTACCAAAAGAGAAAGATGCTAATGACAAGCAACATACATCAACTCACCCGAGCACTAAAAAGCTTCCTGCTCTGAAAGAAAAAGTGCAGAAACCCTTTGATTTAAAATCCTTCAAGCCAATGGGTTTTGAGTCCTCATTTTTGAAGTTCATTCAAGAAAGTGAGGAACGAGGAGATGACGATGACAGTGACGATGATTTTGAGGACAAGTGGGAGCCAACGAAACAATATGAAATGGATGAAATGGTAAAAAAGGATAAAGACTCAAAAAGGGATTTATTGCAGGGGAGGGCTAGATATGAAAATGTCCCACCAGCAATCGTGTCCAAGAGGAATACTGGTTCCAGAGCTCCTGGGCAGCTGAGAGGAATACAGCCCCTGTTGTCAACAGACTCTCCTTCTATCCCTTCTCTGGAAAACCTGAGGGCCATATTGGACAAGGCATTAACAAACTGTGGGGACCATGCCTTAAAACAACTTCATTATTTACGACCAGTTGTTGTTCTTGAAAGATCAAAGTTTTCCACGTCCCTCATAGATTTCTTTCCAACAAAAAAAACAGATCACCTTTGTGTGGGAAGTTCGTAAATTGTTGTGTTTATTTAAAAGAAAAACAAAAAAACTGCCTCCACTACTGCTACATGGGGAAAATTTGCTAATTTGGTTCTTTGCACCTGTCATTGAGGTTAGATTAGGCTGTTCAGTCCCATGAATGTATGACATCTGTCCACAGTAGAGGTTGGCAACTTGTGGTTTTCCACCTGTTACTGACCCGCAACTCCAACCAGCCATACCCAGCATTGTCAACAGTAGGGGCTGGGTGTTAGGAGTCTACCAACATAGAAGGTTGCAAGTTGTCATGCTGTGGTTTACAGTATTGGCTAATATAGCTCCCCTGTTAAACTGAAGAGAGTGAACTAGTATTTTGGTGCTACTTAACAGAAATATTGTGGGGAGTTTCCTCTTGCAAAGTAAATGTGCATGATTGTATATGGAACAAGTACTTAGGGTACCAAGGATGGGATGGGAGGGTTGGGTGGGAGGATGGAAATCTTACTTGACTTGAATGTGCACCTCATGGTGCTTTGTGTAACATATTGTACACTACAGCATCTTATATTTTTTGAGTTATGCGTTTCAATAAAAGGAATTTTTTCACCCATTTTGGTTGACTATACAGCCGGTGTACATAGCAGAGGACAAGCTGAACTCAGTGTTGCCTGTGGTAGTTTTAAATTTTGGGGTGTTACTTCAGTGTAATTGTATATGTCTGTATTTACATGTGAGAAACTGTTTAGTGTAAGCTATTTAAGAAAGAATTAGGGAACTAACAAAATGAAATGTACAGTGTTTTTAAGGTATGCCAAATGAGATAGCTTGGGACATGAAAATTCATGAAACTATGTTTTCAAAAAAAATGTCATTTACGGGACCTTAAGGGTAGGGAAAGAAATTAAATGTAGGCAGAAGAATGTTAGAAAGACTCAGTTATTCAAATTTGGTGGTTGGAACTGTGTAGACAAGCATTGCTGTTCATCTAGTCGTTTATTTCCCTGGGTTTTTAAAATTAGGAGTTACAAGCATTCTAGGAATACTATGTACTTTATTAACTTCAGTCCTCCACACCACCCCCCAGGTTTCAAGTACCTAATTAGAAGAAAGCAATCTAATATCCTAGTGGTTACATTTCTAATTCTTCTGAACTTTTAAAACAATTATTCTTACTGAATATGGTAGTCATCTTTAGCTATACAGTGGTGCCCCGCATGACAACGATAATTCGTTCCCCTGAAATCGCTGTTAAGCGAAATCGTCGTCATGCGAAAAACAGTTCCCCATTGGAATGCATTGAAACCCATTTAATGCGTTCCAATGGGGAAATTACCTTGTCGTCCAGCGAAGATCACCCATAGGGAAGCCATTTTCCGAGCGCCGATCAGCTGTTAAAATGGCTGCCCTGTGAAGCACGGGTCCGGAAAACACAGGGCGATCCTGATGATCAGCTGGAAAAAATCGTTGTCTTGCGAACAAATGGTTCGCGAAGCACGGACCTAATCGTCAAATGAAAATCCCCCATAGGAAACAGCGTTTTGCGATCACAAAAAAATCATCCAGCGGATTCGTCATTTAGCGGGGTTGTCGTCATGCGGGGCACCACTGTACATTTTACAGAGCAGTTGCATACTATGCAAAAATCATTTATGTGCTTCTTTATATTGTTAATCTTTATACTGTATATCTTTATACTGTTAACCAATGCTGTAGGCTATAAAGCTAGCACTGATGTTTAAAAAATCTTCTAATATACCTCTAATATTTTCCTTCTTGAGGAATTGAAGAATAGTGTTCTTATGCTGCTTTCATATTTCTTCTGTTCCTTCAAAATACCGTGGTAGTACCATGGGCATTGATGTACTCCGTGATCACTTTCCCAGTTGTCACCAACATTTGTTTGCACTTTAAATTTGCTTTGACTTGTTGAGGTCATTATTTTCGGTATGCTGCCCAATGTACTAGCCACCCCAGCTTTTATAATAAGGGCTGTCAACCTTGGGAATATAAGCCTACTTGGAATCATTTTGTTAGTGATAGAAATTATCCAATGGAGAGCAGCTTTGGTGGAAAATAACAAATGTACAAATATTGCCTTGGAAGATAGACCAAAGATGTAATTTTCATTCCTGGACTGTTTTCAAGTCCCAAGTCTGATGTCCCTGTAAATTCCCCTTTGGGATTTTATGGAGATAGCAGTCCCCTCCTTGTCTCCTTCTCAGTGATATACTGTACTTTAATCTGAAGAAGGAATTCATTTTAGATGTATGTGCATTACTAAGAGCCAATAAGAAAGGGGCTTATTTTTCTATTCCTTTTTGATGGTTTTGTCATGTTGAGGAAAGAAGGAAGCGTTTCAGAGTTTTAACAGTCCACATTCACTGTGTCAGCAGCATTATTCATGAAGCAGTTTTGTCTTTACAGACCATGTTATCTCTGTTACAGAGGGTCAAGGAATTCATAAGAGACACACTGACCTACTGCAACAGTTCAGAACCGTTGAATGTCACATCAGCTTAACAAGCTTGCTCTCTGTGGGTTGGTTAAGGTACATGGCCGAAGCAGTTTATAATGCGCTTTTAGGAATTTTCTTTTCCCATCCACAAACCAGGGTCTGCTAGTTTTAACAGTATTAAATAGCATTATGTAACCCTGGAGCAGTTTTTAAAAATAGAATATCTCAAAGTTTCCCCTGACATTGGCAGTGTTTGCCCTTTCCGCTTCTAGTATTGGTCACCGTTTCGCATTAAATCATTTGTAAGGGAGAAGACTAGACATACAACATTGAATATAAGCTTGCAGGAATATAAATGAAGCTGTATAAGGCTGGAAAGAGAGTTCTTTCATACCTCAGTTCAAAATACATTAAATTCTAACAAGATAATTACGGCATGTTATATTCAAAATCTCCCCAATTCAGAAGAATCATGCAGAGGCTTTAGTAACCCCCAGGTTTCACTGTCAAATTTACAAAAAAATCATTTTCTAGCCAGTAGTCATCTGGTTTTGGGTTGAGGATGTTTTTACCTGTTCTACAGTAAGCTTTTTAACAATTTCGACTGTTAATTTGTCTTTTAGTAAAACAGCAGGTGCCCATGCTGCACCTCTTCCTAGGGAAGGCAAATTTGGGCTCATGCCATATGACCTGATTAGCCACTGTAGTGCACTCCAATTTATTTTATTATTATTATTCAGAAAGCACAGGTAGTGCAAAATGCAGGAGTCAGACTGTTGCCTGCTGCATATTTTACAGAACTGGCTTTACTGACTTCCAGTTCTGTGAATTCAAGGTGCTGATTTTGACCTAAATAGCTTTAGGCCAAGGTATCTGAAATATTACCTCTTTTTGCTTGTCCAGAGTGTGAGATTTTCAGTAGAGAGACTGTTGCGTGTCCCATCACCACGTTGGCTTTCTTTGTAGCAGCACTTTGGCTCTGGGGGAGCCTCGTGACGCAGTGGTTAAACTGCTGTACTGCAGCCAAAACTGTTGTCACAACCTAATATTCGCTCCCAGGTGGTTGGCTCAAGGTTGACTCAGCCTTCTATCTTTCGGAGGTTGATAAAATGCATACCCAGCTCGCTGTGTGTGGGGGGGATGTGTAGCCTGCATAATTAATTTATAAACTGCCCAGAGAGTGCTTGAAGCGCTATGGGATGGTATATAAGCAGCACACTTTGCTTTTGGAATTCCTTTGCAAGAGAAACAGGCTGCCTCGATCTGGTGAAGTATGGGTATTCTTTATGGCCTTCATTCTCTAAAAGAGGTTCTGAAGCTGGCTTTTAACATTTCTGATCTGCTTTTAAGGAATGCTGGCTTTTAAAATTGGTTTTTGTTCTTTAATCTGTTTTTCATTTTTTAAAAAATCTTTTTGTTTCGCATTTCTTGTAAATTCAGCACTTTGGTGAGCAAATAGGTAAATATTTTATATGTAAATATTTTAATAAATGCATTCCTTAAAGAAAGAGTAGACCTTAGAAATACATGGACTTGGAAAGGCACTATCAGATTACAACATATTAACTTTCTAAAGTACAGTATGTGTTGGTTAGTAGAAGGTACAAAATACTGTAATACATTTGTGTTGTTTTTAGTCCATTCAAACTCTTGTACGTTTTTCAGTTTTTCTGAACTTTACTACTTATGTAAACACATTTTATGCTCATATCTAAACATACGATGACACATTTCTTTAACTATAAATACAGAGATAGTAAATATTCTTGATAAAGCAAGTATCCTTGATAATAACCTTGACAACTTGATTAAATAACCAGAAGCTAAATGTGGGTTCACAGGATACAATATTCCCTAGGGTTCTCTAAGCAGAAACAAATAGTACTGCTGTACAGATAGCCCTTAATTATAACTGAGAACTCAATATTGTTAGATAGCCATGTTTATATTTGAGAAATGGGACTTCAGAGGATTTCTGTGCTTAATTCCTGAGGACCAATGGCACATAAAAAGCAAGCTAATTTGCAGTTCTGGGCAGCAAAAGAAAATTATTTTCTGATATTCAACACAGTCAGTCCTTAAGGATTTTTCTCTTCCAATAATACAGCCTCTGATTGTGCTCTTAAATATTTGTGATTCTTTGATGTCCAGCTGAAACTAAATCTTTTTTTAAAAAATTAAGGAGCTAAGATCTTTTGCTGCCTTTAAAAATATCTTTCTTGCCTTATGTTTTTAGATGTTGTAATTTGCTAAAATAAATGCACTTTCTTCAGGTATTCACTTGGCCAAACATCCAATATGTAAAATGATACCATAGTTTTATGTGCACTGCCATTCTTTCACCTGCTGCATCTGCTTTGGAAAAAGACATGTAAAATCTCCGGAACATTCGAAAATATGGGGAGAGAAGGAATGCTCTTTTCTAGAAAAAAAATGAAATATTGTGAAAAATTAAAATATATTTAATACTTATTTCGGTATTTAAACCAAAACATATTTTACTGCTTTAAGCAACACAGAATGCTTCATTTATACCTTGGTTAGTATATGAAATTGTACTACATGGCATATAAAAGGCCTTAGTTTTGTACAAGTAGAATTGTGGCTATACCTGCACTAAAGAGAGATCTGCAAGCTGCTAGACCCTATACTACCTAAGCACATGTATCTTAGTTTTTGCCACCTGAAAAGCTGGGGAGAATAAAAATTGAAACTACAGATTTTGTAATAAAATAAAAATGTGTTATTTGGACAGAAATAGCTTTGCTTCTACTGTGAACACCCACCAAACTAGCTGGAAAAAAGATAAACAGAAGAGGGCAAGCAATAATCTACAAATAATAAATCCTCCCCCCCCCCGCTCCCCTTATGAAAATGGTAAGCTATACCAAGTACAGTGGACCCTCGACTTACAGACGGCTCGACTTACAGACTTTTCAAGTTACAGACTCCTCTGGCTGCAAAATTTAGATTCGACTTGCAGCTGGAGAATCGACTTACAGACCAGAAAACACCCAAAATGGAACAAAAATACAATAAAAACTGCTGGTTATGGGATTAATCGGTTTTCAATGCATTGTAGGTCAATGGAGATTCGACCTACAGACTTTTCGACTTGCAGCCACCATTCCAATATGGATTAATTCCTTAAGTAG